TCTGAAGATGCCGGTCACAGATGCTGGCGAAACGTTAGGAAACAAAACTTCCAGAACACGGACACACAGCCCAGAAGACCCACACCAGCCATTGTATTCCAGCCGTGAACGCCTTTGACAATACAATAAGAAAACACTGCTAAGAAAATATGACACACAATTTAGTAATCACTGCAGTTTTCAGAATGTCATAAGAAAAAGAATCAAAGCAAAATTTTAGGAATAGCATAATTCCTGCTCTATTATTAAGCATCTCAAAGTTTTCTTCTGAAATTCTAGGCCATTTCTGTAGCAGGAAATCTTCCGACTTCTAACAATCTATGCTTCCATTACAATGCAAAATTACTTACAATAAAAATTCATAATGCTCCAAACACTGGGCAGCTGTTCGTCCAATAATTGGTGCAATAGTTCTCCACTGAGTTGGCATAAGTTTAGCCAAATGGAGCAACTTCTCTTCTTCCTCTCGTGACCATTCTGTCTTCTTGATACTTGGGTCTAGCCATTCATACCTTATTCAAAATGAAAATTTTGTTTGGGTAACAGTAAGTTTCTAAACTATTATTTTACAAAAAAGCTCATGATTTTACTGCAATATACAAATATATTAAAAATATCAACATTGACCATCAACTTTAAGAAATCAGTTTCTTGCTTGAATTTCTTTTGGGTAATTTTTTACACAAGTATTATTCACATTAGTTTAATCTCAAAACTTGTTTTTTCTTGTAGTAGTAATGAAATTATAGAACTGCTCTGCCTACTAGAGCATATGAAATATGAAATTTCTCACCAACATAACCAAATTTACTTTCACATTACATGCTATTACATTACCATCTGGCTTTGCATTGCTTTGCTGATTTCCTGTGCAACAAAGAGGCAATACGAGACCATTGGTTTTTGCCATATTTCATTACAGCTGCTTTAAGAATTTCATCCTTAAAACAAAAGGAGAGTTGTTAGTCATTACAGCATTTATCTAACAGGAAAAGAAACTTTTTTTTTCAGGTCCAACCAAAAATTCCTAGAAAAAGCACCCCGGTTTGCATGAAAAGTCAATTTTGTTCCATTTCATAAAGTCCCCTCTCCCCCCCCCCCCCCCCCCCCCGTCTCCTAAATCAGAACAAGAGATAAAATGAAATTGACAGCAAAAGATTTAGGACAGTCTACCAAGAAATATCAGGAAGGTAAGTGAGACACTATATGGATCAACATGCTCCACTAGATGAAACTCTGGTCTGATGGAGCAGACTTCTATCTCTGATGGATCTTTATTAGAATGTTCAGGGTACAATTATTGCTTGTTAATAAACACATTCCCCAATGACTCTCAGAGGCAACTGGATATATAACTAGACGTTTGCTTTTATGTCACTTGAATGTATTATCTGTGTGAAAATGAATTCCAAAATACTTAATGTAGTTTACTTGCCTTTTCCTTATAGACAATTATAGACAAGATAGTGAAAAATGTCAGGTGTGGATGTTTAACAGCTTGGTTCCTATACTGCTTAGATACAGGCTCCATTATATTTAAAACAAGTCTCTAGTTGAGTATACACAGAATTGATAGAAGTTTTCATTCAAAATTATACAATTTTCTAATGTTCACTACTGAACAGTCTAAATATAAATATAAAAGCAACAGCAGAAATGTACTATTTAACTAAGGATATGAAAATTCAGATGATGGCTAGATGGCAGCAAATTCAGAAAACTCTTTGCCACATCAAACAGCCTTCTAGTCTTCTGCAGCCCAGACTCAATATCCCTAGCACAGCATCCATATTAATTTATATTTCAGGCTCACAATTTCCCACTTTCAGAAAAATCTGTCATGGAATTGGCTTCCGTCCTCCTTAAGGCACTGGCCACACTCAGTGGTGACCTGATGGGAGAGAGCCACAGGTTCCCTACCATGCCTTAACGTCTGGCCAACAGTTAGCAGATACAAAACAACTAATTTGAAACAGGCATAAAAAAAAAATGGTTCGCAATCTTATTTGCACTTATGTATTTGCTTGATTTATATCAGGTCTTTTGTACAGGAGCTCAAAGCATCACGGATCGTACTCCCCCCTCCTTTTTCCCACAACACCGATCCTGCCATGTAGGTTAGGTGAGACAGTGATCCAAAGTCACCCAGGAAGCTTCCGTGGCTGAGGGTGGACCAGCGTTTCCTTATTCCTTGTCCAACTTATTAACGGTTACACTACACTGGCTCTCATTGGGATCTGAGTGGAAGCTCTAGTCCTCAATACAGAGAAGGAAACAGACGCTGAGTCTTGCTCAGTGTTATTACTCTTTGGGTACTTATTGGGCGCCGCGGGAGGGGAAGATGAAGGCTACTTTCCCGACGCAACAAAAAAAGTATCCGCTAAACAGATCCATTTTCTCTTCCACGCAGGCGTCAGGGTCTTTTGCGCATGCGCCTGGCAGCCGCTGCCGCCACAACTGCAGAGGCCTCTATAGAGAAACAGCAGCGCTGCACCGAAAAAATCTCGGAAGGCCGTGAGGCCATTACCTCTGTATTCCTCCACACGCCCCCTTTTATCATGATCCGCGGCATCTTGACGGTGGGAGAATAAACCCAAGCACAGGGAGACAAACGGCAACAGCGGAAAAGACAGGTCCCAACGCCGCGAGAGCAGGTTGGAGTACTGCGCAGGCGCACTCTTGGAAAGTAAACGCCTCCTGTAACGGCTCTCAGAGAGACTCTGCATTGGAGAAGAGGAAGCCCCGCCTACCTGTAGGCAGGGCCGGCGTTCGCTCTATGTTTTACGCATGCGTATTAAGGGGAGCTGATCTCCCCTGAAGCCAAGAGAGTTGCTAGTTTCATTGGAGGCTTGAGTAAAGCTGTGGGATTTTTCACACTACACTCCGCATTCAATTAATTTGCTAATTCCACGGTGCTGGGGGGGTGTGTGTGTCACTGCCCAGAACATAGTCCTCCGAGTCCTGGTTTATGCATCGGAATTTAGTTTCCTTGGTTTTGCATTACGGCGATGCGGGAGCCCAACCCCAGCATTTGTACTCTATGGATTTCCTTTCTTCTTAGGTCCTTGATTGTTTGCACCCACCCACGATCTTTGTGTGTTTTTGCGCGCGGGAAACATTTCGTGCATCCAGTAAAGTAGACTAGCTTCACTTATGTTGTAGCGGTGCTTCGTCTTGAGCGTGCAAGCGATTCTGAGTTTGGCTGCAAGAACTGGATCCTCATTCCACCCCCCCCCAGTCAAAAGTGAAAGTAGCCCAACGTCCCCAAGCCAGCAGGAATCGCCTGCAGTCATTCCAAGCAGCGCGAAGTCCCTCGAAGACTCCGCCACCTCAAGGAAAACGCACTCCACTCTGCGCAAAGCCTCCGTCCCGGAGCGAGCTCTGCAACCCGATCTACCGTGGGGGAAGCGCCTCCCTCCCCGGAATCCCAAAGAGGCGCCCATCGCGCCTGCGCGGGCGGACCGCCCCCTGGCTATTTGGGGGGATTATTGCGAGGCCGTTCAAACCGGCGCAGGTGGTGGGCCCCTTTCGCGGCTCAGATTTAGATGACAGAGCCATGGCAGAGGAGGAGCCGGCGCCCCTGTCGCCCTCGTCTCAGGAAGGTAAGCACCGAAGGGATGAAAGAGGGCTTGGCGTCCTCCTTCCCCCCATTTGCCTTCATTTATTCATTTATATTTCAAATTTGTCACCGGCCATCTAACTCTGGGTGGTTTTCAGTAAAAACAGAATAAACATCAGTTAAACTAGATAAATATTAATTTAATTAATTAATTAAA